ATCTTGATTAAGGCTGTGATGTCACTAAACAACTCAGGAAGATTGTATAGTTTTATTTTGATAAATTTTTTGTACTTGTTGTATAGTTCTTGGTAATTTATTTTGGTGAGTACAAAATCAAAGAAAAAGTTGAAGCCATACTTCAAAAGTTAAACAACTTGCCAGAATTTTAGTTTTGTAAGGTATGTTGATTTAAGATAGACTGTAAAAAGTGCTTTGTTAATAATTATATAGACTTTTTTCTTAATAGTTCTGGTGATATATCCAATATTGTTTACTTTGAGGTAGTTTACTTTGAACTCGTTTTCAATTTTTTCATATTCATATTGGTGTTGACCTTTGATTAGTTCGTTTTTTGTGAAGGTTCTGAAAAAGTCTCTATTTTTATAATCAATTTTTGAAAAAATAATCTTCAGTGAAGATTCAGGGAGACCTTTAGGATTGTCTCTGAATTTAATAAAGAGTTTAAGTATATTCTTTAGAGTTTAGAGACAACTAGTTATTTCTTTGCAATATGTGAGAATCTTGATTTGTTTATTTTCTAAAGTGTTGCTGCGAATATCACTATTGAATTGACTGTTGGTTGAGATTAGTAATATGGCTTTAGTTTTATCAACCCAAAAGGTGGAATTAGTTATGGATTATAAGTGTGGTTTAGCTTTTGTGAAGAGATTATCAATTTCTATTTCAATAGTGTTTTATGTATTACTCAAGTTAGTGTTATTCTCATGTGAGGATATAGGAGTGCATGCATTACTTGTTTCATATTTATATAAATTATGTACTGGATTATTGTCAATAGGTGATATAGGTTCAGGGATTGATACAAAGATTGTCACAGGAGAAAAATCAGGTTGCATACTATTATCATTAATCATTTCCTCTGTAGGTGCACGTGTGTTTAATGGGAGTAAGAGTGTCCTGGTTTTTTTTTCAAAAGTAAAAATTTATTTTCCTCAAAGGTGATGTTAAGTTTCTTCCAAGAAATGTGTAAGCTGTAATTGAGATTATGCTTTATAACCTTTTTCATGATATCTGTTCTATTCTTATTTGTTAGTTTGAAAATGTATTGAAATCCCATAAAAGAATTTAAGTCTTCCAGGGGCATTGGTTCTGGTAGAGTTATAGTAACAAGTGTGAGTATATGTAATATCCTGATTTTTTGATATTTCTTGAAGATGGCATTAATAATATTGGCATTTTCAATTTACTCTGTAGAGAATGAATTGATGTTATCCATACTTTTGAACAGTTTTCCAGTCTGGGAAGACAAATTGATTAGGCAGGAGTGGAGGCAGAAATTTTGTTTGTTTTAGTGTTTCTATAGATAATAATGGCTTGGGGGCTTTTGATGTTAGTTACAAGTATATTGAGAAGAATATTTTTATGATTAACTATTTAATTCTTAGAGAAGAATTCCTTAAGATTTTTTCTTTTTTTTTCCATGAAAAAATTTTGAGTTTCCTAATTTAGTAATTTTTTGCAATGTGATATATTTGAAAAAAAGTTTTTTTTGCTTCTAATATTTTTTTTTACAAGTTATTAAAAAATTTTTATTTTAATTTAATAATAAATTATTTTGATAATTATTTATTTCAAAAAGATAATCAATAAATTTCTTAAATATTTTTTAATAATTCTAAATAAAAATCAAATAATATATCTAATTACAAAATATAAATTTAAAAGATTTTTTTTACAATATTTTATTTATCAAATATAAATATTTTTGCTATTTTTTTATTTAATTTTTTTTAAATATTTTCAATTAAAAATAAAATCAAAATATAATAGTAATATTAACAATATTTTAATATATTAGTTTTTAATTCAATATCTTTATAATTGGATTAATAATAATCAATCAATATAAAAGCAATTCAATATAATTTATAGATAGTAATTTCTATAATATAAGAAATATATATATATATTAAATAAAATATTATATTAGATAGTTTAATAAAAAATATTTATTAATTAAAATAGATTTTAAAATTATTTAATACATATAATTTTATAGACCTATAGATTAATAATATAGTAAGATTTTTAGGTTTTCAAATATATGTTTCTAGTTTAATATTTATAAGACAAAATTATATTTAAAAAATATTTTTCATATTAGATTTAAGTAAAATTATTGAATCTATTTGTTTTAACCAAACTCTTTTAATTATAATTTTATTAATATATAATATTGTTATTTCAAAATTTACAAAATTTTATTTAATATAAAAATTAAAATTAAGTTTACTTTTTTAAATAATCAGTAAAATTATAATAAACAATTAAATTTTAATAATTTATTTCAATAATAATAAACTATTCAAATCTGTTTATAATAATAACAATGATAATATTATATAATAATAACTTAACTATTTAATTAATTAAGAATTTATATAAAAATATTGAACTTTTTATATATTTGGGTAATTATTTTTGAAGGCGGACCGAAAATTTTCTGGCATGATCTTAAAATTTATATTATATATGTATTGTTTAAAAGTTGGATCTGAAAAAATCATATCTAGCATTTTTGTTGTCTTCAAAAATAATTACCCATTTTATTTAGTCTTTAAACAATTATTATATAGGTTTATAGAAAATTATAAAACTCTCTTCTGATCATGTTTACTTTGCTAAAAATTTTCTTTTTATAATAATTTTTATCAAGAAAAAATGTTTTATACTTTATCGCAAGTGAATATTAGTTTAGGAACTCAAGAATCTTTAAGATAACTGGTGCAGTGGGATAGGACCTCTGGTTGAAATCTACTCAAGTTTGGGAGTCTTGCTTATTTTTTGGTTGCATAAGGAAAGACCCATGAAGTTCTTTTTTTTTTTGTTCTTTTGTACCTCTTCTTTAATTTATTATAACATAAAAACCATCTATATTAATACCATTATATATGCTAAGTTAAATACTTTTCAAAAAATATACTCAAACAAAGTTATTGGATTTATTGTTTATTTTAATACAACCTTTATATACAACTTTATATACAACTTTATCATAATAACACTTACTGTACTATTTCAAAATTTTCAAAACTTTTTGTTCAAAAAACTGAAATCAGTTTACCCCCTTCAGATAATTATCACTCTCCAATCATCTAATCAGATTTCATCAAAACAACTAAAAAAAAACTATATCTGTTCAAACTGGTTTTTCAGTATAACAACAACAACAATAATAACAATAATAACTATAATAACAAGTAATGTCACATGTACTCTTTTATCTATGGTAATTAAAAAGTCAGAGAAATAGAATTATGTGCCTGTCCAGAGGCTTTCTTGAGGAAATAATTGAGTTTTTACTTATAGATTCTATAGTCCGTTTAATTTAGTTTTAGTTTTAGTTACAGTTATTATTTTCTTTTTATTTATTTTATATTCAAAAAATCAAAAGATTTTGCAAAATTTTATCAAGTAGATAGACATAACCACTACTCTGCTATTTGATATTTTAGTATTGCTTTTAAAATTTTTTACAATATTAGTTAAATAGTGATCAAATAGGCAAACTAGCATTTAACTTGTTATATGCAATATGCACCCAAGAGATGTTGTTTCTTTCTCAATATATACTTTCAATATATGATATTGAATAAAGAGATGGTGTTTACCTACTGGGTAAAACTCTTCTCAAAAAAATTATATAGATTTACAGATTCAAATAACAATATCAAAATTTAATAATTAAAACAATAATAACAAAAAATTAATTTTATAATTTTATTAATTTAAACAATATGATCAAAATTCATCTAACAAAAATCTTATTATTTTTATTTTTAACATTAACTTAATTGTTTATAAATAAGCATAAGTTATTTATGAATTTCTTTTAATATAATATTATTTATTATCAAAGATTTATATATAATAATATAGTATTAACTTAAATATAATAATAATAAATATATTATTTAAATAAAACAAAATTTTACAGTTCAATTGTATATTTTTTAAGACATAATTATTTGTTATTTTAATAAAACATAATTCAAAAGATATTTGAATTAAACAATTTAAATTCCAAAGATCTTTTTTTTTTTTTTTTTTGAAATGAGCAAATGGCTATCATGCTTTATTATATTTATTATACTTTCACTTACTTACATGGTAAGGTACAATAATTAATAGCACGACGTACGCCTCTCTTTGCTAGAAAGAGTTTAACGCAAGGCTTCCATATGGGGCCAGACCCCTGTGCTCTTTTAGCACCACCCAAGGAATATAGACAAAAAGAAATTCAAAAATCTATATCGAATTATGAATGGTGTCCAGCTACCTGAAATTAAATGAATATCTAATCACATGAAGGTGCTGCAGCCAATCTATACAGGTTGGCCTCCAAGTCATGATTAGGATTGGCACGCCTGCTTTCCAAATATGGCTTGATGTATGGCAAGCGGAATTCCAAAGATCTTTATAAGTAGTATTTTTTCAATATTCATATAAATACAAATAATCATGAATTTATTAAACAGATAACTAATTTGAAAAAAAATTTATTAAAAACATATATACTGTATATATAACATATTGGGATTTATTAAATATTACATAACTGATGTTAAATTATTTAATACTACTTACTGTATTTATATAATTCTTTATATTGATATCTATAGTATAATAAGTTTATAAATATTTTTTAACTCAATTTAATAATATTGAACATATAGTATACACTGTATATACTGTATTTATTTATATACAGTATTTACAAAATTTAAGGATTTTCAAATTCATTCACACATATATGTATTATTTAAATTTATACAAACATCTTTATATTGTATTGAAACTGTTATCAATTTATTTATTTATTTTTTGTTATCTCTCATCAAACTTTACATTATTATTTTCAAATATGCTTTTTTATTGTTTATCTTGTTTTGGAATTGTAATTTGTGAATTGAATTTTAATATTATATTGGTTTTTTCAGAAAAAAAAAAGGTTTTATGATGTAAATATTTGACAATCATTGAATACCATTATCAATGTTCCAATAATCTATAAAAAAAGGTATAATAATTACTATTTGTGATATTTACTGCATTATACCGGCCGGCAGTTTTCAAGATATTATACAAAAATCTTGAAAAATTAACTCGAAAAATCGGTTATTCACATAATTTGCAATACATTTTTACCAGTTTCAACTAAAATAACAAGAATAATATGTGATTTCTTTTGAAGGTGAGATGGATTCAAGTCTTCAATAAATATAAATTCCAAAAATAGATTGAAAGAGTGGACAGAACTACTACATGTGTCATCAAGAAGGATCTATATGCAATGCAAGTAATGAATTAAAATTGATAGATGCTGTATATATTGTTAATAGTATAGATCTTGCATCTTGTTATTTTATAAATAGTACGGTAACTGCATGATAACAACCATTATTCAATAAGATACTTATGACAAGTATTGTGTTATGAGTATTGTCAAAAGCTTATCTACAAATTCCACATATCACATGAGACGAAAACAAAAGATCATAGGTCAAACTTCGACAAGATTCACTTATTCATGTTGAAGGATGATTATTTTTGTCGTGATTGAATTGCAATACGTAAAATTAACAAATTAACAAGTTATACAGTATATACGTTATGTGCAAAGTTATAGATGCATTCGTACGGACATCATAATTCCATGGAAATATGTTTAATCAATTAATATATTATAATTTTCTTCTATAATCATAGTTATTATATACACTATTTCTAGAAGTTTTCATTATTTAAGTGATATATCTTCAATAATATTAATTTTATGATGATTATATTCTAATATGATTTAACTTAACGAGTACCTTTCTGCCCTTGTGCTTTTAAAAAATACTATGTATCAACGGGCAAGTTTTTGATAAGTGTGTTTCACCTCAAAGTAAAAGGTCACCCGATTCTGAAACATTTTTTTTTTTTGAAAAAAATTTTTTTAGGGGATGATTTTAAATAGAAAACAGGTTACGTCAAAGATTAAGAAAATATTGGAATTATTATTTGATTATATACACAGAATAAGGTCGATTTCTTTTTAAAAAAAGAAATAATGTAAATGTTAGAGACGTATATGCTGGCTTTGTCAATTCTTGAAGAAACTTATTTTATTTGAACATACAAGACCATCACATAATAGTCTCAGTACTTTACCAATGCGCAAAGTTTTAGTATTAAACCTTTTTTTTTTTTTTTTAGACAGCAATAAAGCATATAATATTTTTAGAAACAGGGGATTCTGATGGTAGCGAAAGCCGAAAGAAATTTTAAAGGTATGAAGCTTAAATAATCATAGCAAACGGTTTATGATTATTTTCCAAAGGCATATTTACAAGGAATATTGAGTAATAAATGGCAAAATTTTGCACCCCAGTTTTGTTTTTTAATAACCCTGACTCTCATCAGCATTTGCATATTCTATAGCCCTGAATTTGTTTTTACATTTGTCAAGACCGTATGCATATTTCAAGGAACCGTTGGTAAGTGGTTTTGTTGATAATGGATCCACATCGCCTTGTGAGGGATTCCTGTTAGAAGATTCATCAGAAATAATTACACTCTCATTGACACCATCTTGCATTTCACCGTGTCTTTCTTCCAGATATTTTTCCACATCTTCAAGGTTCTTGCCTTTGAATTTCAATAAGAGGTTAACTAAATCTTTATTCCTCGTGGCATTTTCTTCAGCCATCTTTGATTGTTTTTGAAAAAGTTCGCATTGCATGCGCAAGGAGTTATTCTCCGCAGTCAACATTTTAACCTGTTCATCCAGGGTTTCGGTTCTTCTGGTGGATTTTCCAGGAAAGTCGGTTCGAAGTTGGAAACGGAGAGCTGCGGATTCTTCTTGCAACACCTTTAGCTGAACTTTCATCGACCTAATGGTTGATTTACTTTCTTCTACTTCTTTTTTCATATTGACATTCTCCGCTTCTTTGGCTTCCATATCGATTTTTGTTTTTGAGATCGTACGTAAGGCCTCCGTCAACTTCTCCTGAGTATTCGTGAGTTCCTGAGATACTTCACTATCTGAAGCTTCATACTGACTTTTAAGCCGTCTTGCCTGCGCTTGCGATTCTAACAATTGCGTTCTGGTGCTGGAAAGTTCGGCACTAAGTTCATTTACCAACCCTAGATATCTATCCCTCTCTTGTTGAAGTCCGGAAATAGTTTCTTCGTGACTTTTCGATTTAAATTGCAAATCGAGAATTTTTTGCTTCAAGTTTTCCGTAGTTCCATTCTGATACAATGGAAAAAAATAATGAGTTCGCATAAAAGGAAACATAATGAAAGTGATTAAAACAATAATATTAAAGAAATGAGGTTTGCATCAAGAGTACCTCTTCAAACGGAGAAATCCAATATTTGTTCGACGTACTCCCAGGTAATTGACCAGAGATCTTTTCAATTGCAGGTCTTAATGAATCCTTTCTTCCGTCAGCCATATCGTCCGACGGATCGTGTTTTACATTTCTTTCCAAATTATCCCGGAGAGCCTTTGACGCGGGTTTTAATGACTCACGTTTAGTAATCTTTTCCAAATCATCGTTAGATGTTCTTTTTATCTTTTTAGATTTCGATGTGCTCCCTTCTTCGATTTGCGCCGGTTCTTTCTCCTGCTATAAAAGGGTGTGAAACGGGTTTGCATTTCATGATTATAATGTAAACATTGTAAGATGGATATAATACCTTTCTTCGTTTGGGAGCTCCTGTATCGTCTAAAACTTCAGAGTGTCTCTTTTCCGAAACGCGCGATGATACAAGTGATGGGACGACCTTACCCCAAGCCTTCTCGATCGCAGTTTCCATGCCAAAGGTTAAATCCTCATGCATGCCACTCTCGATCCAACTAACAACCTTATCGCAGACACCGTTGACATCAAATTTAGATGTCTCGCAGCCTGGAATCAGGGTTTGATTCTTTTTTATCACTCCAAAAAGCATCATCTTTTTGATATCTGAAAGATTCAACTCAGAGATAACCTTTTTCTCATAAAACAATTGATAGCTAAGGGCATGCTCAAGTGTATTCTTGGTCACAAGTCTAATTACCGGAATGTTCACGTTGGACTTTGAATTCCACAATTGATTCGATGGATTAAAACTTGTGTCATATGCAATCACGAGATCTAGTGAAGACTTTGAAAAGAACGAAATAGATTAATGAGAAGTCACCCCCATCATGAAATAATGTATCTCTCGATTATACGTGTGCTTGATATAAAGTATCAACATTTGGTCAAAACAAGAATTCGTGCACACATGCTGCCAATATTATCGTGACCGGATAGTTCGGCATATAGAAATACAGGAGTAACAAACACTTACCAAGTAACTGTTGATATGTGCGCTGGTTGAAAACAATATACATGTCATGCGCTCATAATTGTGGTTGAGATCGGAAGCTCTGCTGACATTCTTCGACTTTGAGTCATGAGCTTCCAGATAATTATGACCCAGTAATTCCAGGAAATCCTTGAAGATGTCCTAAAGACACAAATAACGATTAAAGATATTCGCATGACATTAATAAGAGGGTAGAATGACAATAAGAGGCATACAATCATTTTTCCTTGAGGAAGAGCAATTCCAATCTTTATGTTTTTGTGCGAGAGTTTCATCAATAGTCTTCTCAACATCAAAAGCTTTCCGGTCATGCTCACATCCGACAACCATTTCTTAAATAATCTTCTATTATCATTTAAAGTTTGCGTGAACAATGAAATATGATCAACTAACATGAGCAGTTGATCTCTTGCAGTAAGAATCAGGGAATCCGAAGATAACGGTAACGACTCGTCGGCTTCAGCAAAAGCTCTAAATAGTTGAGGCTTATTGAATATTGCACGATATATCTTTTGTTGCAACAGGGACAATGGTATTGGAATCATGATTGTCCTTAGATGTTGGGAAAATCGAGATTTTTTTGACAATTGTGATAAATTAGAATCATCCGACAATTTCTTAGATGTGGAATCTTCCATTGATATGCCACCATAGGATTGTGATCTGAGCCTGGATGATGAACCATTATTCAAAGGAAAACTCCTGGGTGTCACATCTTCAATAACCATGGGAAGATTGAAACTACCACCAAGAAGCAATTCCGGGGGACCAACGACCATGGGAATTCTTGCGTTACCACCGGTCATTGTGGGAGAATTTAATGAACGAAGATCATCTTTACTACTTCCTGACAACCCCTTTTTGGATTCTGTGTTCATGGTTGAGGTTGTAGATGAAGGTTTTGAAGTTGAATCCATAGGGGATCTTAATTTCCTTTTTGCGGACCTTTTTTGCTGTTCCCATGAGGCTATAAGCGGCGGTGTACAATAACTTGATGGTTCCTGAGACAACGCAAGTTTATTGTGCAAATAACATCAACAAAAGAGGGCACATTGAGAGAGAACAATGATCAAGAAAGAGGCTTCTTACCCAAGTTGGACTCCAAGGTTTCCCATTTTCATCCATACCCTTCCATTTGATGTAGTAATACCAATCATCACCAATCAACTTTTCATCTATAATCCTGTCAGCTTCATAGTAAACCTTTCCGTTTGAATTTTGCGGCATGACTATTATTGAAACAATATCACTTTCTTATGAAAGTACGAAAGACTGGCAAGAGTAAAGCACGAATAATAAAATACGATTAATAAAACACACCAAGAAAATCCAAAGAAAAAAGAGCCTTAACGCGGCAAGCTTTGCAAACATAACTTTCGAGGGTTTCATGATAATAAATCAAACCCTTTCTCCTCCAAAATACTCTAATTTTTTTTTTTACAAAACAAAACTTACCGAATAAAAGGTGAACTTTCTTTGAAAAGTGGGTTTCATTCACCAAAAGAAAGAAAAAAAAGAAACAAAAAATTTTAAACGATAGACCAGAGTGGGCGAGTGTGCAAAAAAAAAGAAATCATCTAGATTTCGGATGTGTAAAAATGTACATACCAGTAAACACTAAATCTTTTTTTTCTTAAGACAGGAAAAAAAAAAGTCGATATGCACCGGATTGGGAAAAATCAATGATAAATACAGTGGCACATTTCATGTCATGGTTGAATAGGAACTATTTAATGGTAGTACTCACCAATTTTCTTAAAGTTTTTCTAGACTTTCTTGTGAAACAGTTTTTATGCAACAGCAGCTCTTAAAAGAAGCACAAGCGAAAAAAAAATAGAGAGAGAGGAAGAAAACAATAAAATGAGGATTGTTCAGTTTGAAAAAAATGGAGAACAACCTTATGTACCCTTGGTCATCACTACATTTTTACATTTATGGAAAATTTTTGATGATCTAAAAACACATGTGATCTCAAAATTACGCACTCCGATTTACGCGACAATCCTTCACGTACACACGTATACACACGTGTTTATAGAAAACACGGTAAATATATGAGATAATTCTAGCATTTTCGGTTTAAATATTATGAAATACATCACAAAAATTGAATGTAAACACGTCTTTTGTTTTAATAATTACTTTTGAACAGGAGGTTAACTTCAAGAATCAGTCAGCACATACACATCACCTGTTCATTCTTTCCAAAAAAAAAAACAAAACAAAAACCCCCAAATCCGAAATTCATACGGTGGTCTTCTGACCCTGCGTTCATGCACTTGTGCTCACTAAAACGCGCACTTATATTCACTAAAACGCGCACTTATGTTCACTAAAATGCGCACACGATCGATCAATCATTTCAACGTTGTAAGAAAGTGAAAAATGGAGTGTTTCATTTCCTTAATTCTACTATTACACATCATTTTACATTGCCCACTTTATCCATCTATTTATAATGACATGTGATGCTGTAACAATAATTTGTTTGGAAAAGGAAATTCGGGTGCATGCACCAAAACTAAAAAGGTTCCAAAGTTTCAGCATACTAAAATTACTAAATTGATACTGTATACCGGGTGTTATTATATGCTTGTTAAAGTTAATACAAAAAAAGTTCCGAAGTCTAACTCCGGAAATAAGTAAATACAATAATGCAATATATTTTGAGGGTTGGTTTAGGAATAATAACTTTTCGCGTGTGTTAGGGATCAACCGCCGAGGGGCCCAGCCAGTGGGTCAAAAGGAGGAAGTGTTGGTTGGTAGGGAGCTGAATTGTTAGACGTGCAGTATCCTAAATGATGAAAGATTGTTAATAATTTTTTTCATGTGAAATTCTTTCAAGATTTACATAGAGCAAAGTTACGGCGTACCAAGTGTTTGCATAATTAATCTCAGCTTCGGTCCGATGGCACCAAAACAAAGGTTCCCAGACCTTTTTTCCTGATCTTCCAAAGTTTGATTGGTTTTGTACCTAAATACCATCAGGAAATCACTCGAATTCGCATAGTGTTTTTCGGATAGATGTTCTAAGTTGGATCCGAGAGCATAAGGGTTTATGCTAGTCTCCATTATAGCACAGTCACTCACGTTCGAAACGCCCTGCGGTAAAAAACCAAGGTCGTCAGCGATTATGGCTTTCTTGAGCATTTCCTTGGCTATCTCGTATTGAGGCGATGCGCGGAATTGTGATATGAAGTCTGTAACATTTGCGAATTTGGCTCCAGGTCCACCGGCAAATTTGTTTAACTGCTTATTGAAGTCTGAGACGCGTTGACCAGAAGGTAGTGTGATTAAATATTTGTCAAAACCGTGCTCGTGGAATCCGTCGAAAATTACTAGTCCACTTCCTTTGGGGTCAAGTGAAATTATTGGATATGGTGTGAGGGCTTCAGAGGCGTTGGAAGGGTTCAGCCAATCACTCCAGTAACTATCGGAAGAGGGGGAAAGTAGCATGAGCAAAAGAATTTACGACGTGAAAATCGCATTTGAACATCAAAAGGATGTGAAAGTTACCTTTGAAAACCTAATCCGTGAAATAATTCATGCAAACATACGGTCAAAAAATCAAATTCTTTCTCTCCGATTTGCCTTTGGTCTTGGCGAAACCACCATTTTACTTGAGTATTAAACGTGGCCGTGATGTCGATAGACGTAAACTCTGGATGGGTCTGCATTTGATATTGTTTCACGAGGGCCTGAGGGTAGAATCTGGTGACACCGTCGTCGTCTTGCATCAGCATACTTCTCACCGGTCTGGCAAAACCTTTTTGAAATTGATTGATGGTTAGGACCATTTTTCGGACATGAAATAACAGACAAAAATGCATACCCAAATCAATGAATCTTTCATCAGAGCAATCACTCAGACCGTTACAAAAATCCAAGCAAGAGACATTCAACTTTATCGGAGTTTTCAGACAAAAGACTTGTGAGATCATCTGTCCGGCGGTCTCAAACGATTTCTTCATGTTGTCACACAAAGCCGTGTTGTTACCGGTACAATGGAACTCTGCGATTTCGAACATGTTCGTTGTCGTGGTATCATTGACATAATTGTCTCTTTTGGCAACACTTCGTTCGGTCACAAGTTTACAGTCTACGCGAGTAAAATCATAAGGTTTAAAGGGGTTAGGTTGATCTATACATTTTTGTGCCGGGACCGGTGACAAGATTGCAGAGAGTGCAAGGAAAACGATTATTGTTGGTAGTTGGGTCGATATCATTGACCTCATATTTTCCTGAATGGATGAATGCTTGGAGAATGAAAAAAAAAAATAAATGACACCTTAGAAATAAAGAATATTTATGTATGTATGTATGTATGTACTTTTGAAGGCATTTAAAAAAAAAATGGAGAAACAATTGAACAATCGAAGGTATATTATCGAATTATTGTTATTTCCTAATGAAAATAATTTCCAAATTAAAGGGGCCGAGACGAATCAAAACGATTTGCTAATAAGGATATATATATATGTATATATTTATACTGTATATATATATTTTTCAATTTCTAAATTAAAGGGGCCGAAAAAAAAAAAAAAAATCAATATGATCATTAATAGGAAATTTGGATTTTTTTTTTCTTTTTTTTTCTGTCGTAAGTGACTTTTATGAACGGTTGCGTTTATATGGTGAAAATAAAAAAAACGTATTTTTCGTCAAATTTCCATCTACGGTATTTGGTGGATCCCCACACAAATCATTGTGTGACTAACTTTTCGGGCGTGATATTTTTAGAAAATCAACGTCAACCCGTTCGATTATACAAATCAATTGACCTAAATGTTTTTAGAACAACCGCGGTAGCCTCGTATAGTAAATGAAGGATTCGAGCAAATATTACCGCAGGTGAACTTTCCTACATTTAGCGAAGATTTTCGGATTTTCGCAGATGGCAATACTTGTGTATTTCCATCGATCGAAGTGTGTAATAATTGACGCATAGATTGTCTCTTCCTAATATTCTTTTACGCAAGTGGCTTCTGGTCAACTTGCGTCACATTAATTACGTAATGAAGCAAGCAATTAATAATGGCTATGGCTTTATCTATTGCTGTAATGATTTCAAAGAAAAAAAAAAAAATAGAATAAAATAAAATACACCAAGAAAATTTTGGACGATCAAAGAAGATAACTAATTTAAATTCCTGCATTAAATCAAATTAATTTATTATCCTGAAATAGAACGGATGTTGACGTTTGGCACCCTACCAGAATATACAGTACATTCTACCTACAGTAAAAAAAGCCTCGACGAAAACTGCTCTCCTGATCTGCCGAATGCAGGGTTGTACTCGCTTCACGCTGGTGACTCCACATCAGGGGCTTGAGAGGTGGGATCAAAGAAATGGGATTGTTGATTATCAATGTATACTCATAGCAAGATTTGAATTAGCCCATTAGCTTGTCCAGTTCTTGTTCGGCACACGTACGCAAATTGGATGAAATTGCATATATGTGATTTGTGATATAGTCAAGTGCGCTAAACGACTTCAAAATACAAGTTTCTCGTTATATTTTACATCATTCACAACTCATATTTCTATTTGCTATTAAGGTTCTAGGTTCAATTTTCAATCCGAGTAGTTTCAAAGTTTTACCGTTTATTCAGTTACTCTTGTTTAATTAATTATGTCTTTATTCGAACTTATTTACGATATTTTTCAATGGGGGACGTGCCTACAACTTATACACGAAACAGGTGCATGCATGAATGAAATTATGCTGTTATGGGATGATTTTGTCCCGACAAATGAAACTCGTGACTCTTTCAACTGCAGCACCATCTAAATGAATTTCTTCTTATTTTAATTTTAAAAGATGTTATGCAGTCGAGTTGAGAAAGAAGGGGGTCGCAAGGGCATATATTAAAGAAATTTAATGTGACATTCAAAACCATTAATGATTTTATTTCACATGTAATGTAAAAGAGATTCTTATTACAATTTAATTTAATCACCAGTCAAGGTAGATAGATCGCCTTTTGTGAATTATGTGCTATTTTTATTTTTTGGTTCTTGAAAGAAAGAAATGTGCATCCATCCTATGACACCTGGCTAATCAAACTTTATCCCAACTTTATTCATAACCTTCCTCGCGATATCTTTATAACATTCTGCATTGTAACTGTCGGATCTGGCCACAACAATTGGTGTACCCAAATCTGATAATTCACATATGCTTGCATCTAATGGGATGTCGCCGAGATAATCTGTATCCATTTCTTTAGACGTTTCTATTACCCCGTCATTACCAAATATATGTGTTTTGTGCTGACAATTTGGACACACGAAAAGCGACATATTTTGTACCATTCCTAAGATCTGATTTAAAAATAAAAAAAAATCTTGATTATTACATGGAGTATCAAGGTAAGAAGGATGAAAATTATCGGCCGACAATTGTAGCTCCTACTTACCGGAACATCAACCTTCTTGAACATGTTAACACCCTTCCTAGCATCAATGAGTGCAATGTCCTGGGGAGTTGATACTATCACCACACCTGAAATATTCCATAAACAATTAAACCACTGAAAACGTCATCAATCGACTAATACTCTTTCCCCTCCCCCCTCTTTTTTTTTTTGACTTTGCATACCATCTAGTATGACTTGTTGACTGATGGTTAATTGGGTATCTCCTGTTCCCGGGGGCATATCAATTACCAGCAAATCAAGTTCTCCCCAGTATACCTGATGTAATAGTTGCTGCAGTGCTTTCATCACCTATTTAAATAATAATAATATAGATAGGATAAAATAAATGAATGAATGAATGAATGTTATATGATATAAATCAAATAAATATAAAATATATAACAGCAATGAAATTAAAGAGCTAGCATCAGAAATGGATATGAGTTGTTAGAAAAGTACCATGAGTCCCCTCCACACCACGGGTGCATCATCTCCAATCATGAATCCTATTGACATCGCCTTCACTCCGAAATTTACCAAAGGCATTAGATTGTTATCTATTAAGAACGCATCATGAAATGATTTTTGATTTCATTGTTGTGGAGATTATCTAACTGCCGGTGAAAAATGTCTTCGCATCGCACCTTTTTCATGTACCTGTGGTTCACCTTTTAGATTCATCAGACGAGGTATCGATGGCCCAAAGATATCTGCATCCAAAATGCCCACGTGCTTTCGAAATGATGCTACTGCTAATGCAAGGTTAACTTGAATAAGACAATAAGGATTAAATTTGGGATAAATTTTTAGATGTCTAGATTGATTGCCGTGAGAAAAAATACCGGCCAATGTGGATTTCCCAACCCCACCCTTTCCAGAAGCAACAGCGATCACATGTTTGACGCCAACAATCCCTCGCTTTGTAGGCAATCCACGTCGCATATTGGATTCCACTCTCGTTCTATCCGTTGGCGATGTTCCTTTTTTTATCCCATCAGGCTTTTTCGGTGTTTGTAGAATTCCCTTTATGTAACAAAGTTAGCAACAGAATAACGATTATCCATATCGGGTGAGTACTCACCAAGGGATTTTCGTGGCACGTGAAACCACTTATGCTAAAACTTCTTTTTTTCATGAATCGCAGACAATGAATGTTACGATGAGCACCGAAATTCTTTAGACATTGGGAACGAAAAAAGAACGTTGAAGAATTCATGGTTCTCGTTCACTCTTAAAAAATGAATGATTATCGATTTATATGTGATAATCTGAAATTTTCCAGCCAATGAAATTATCGTCATTTCTCGCGTCTCGTGTGAAGCAACAGATTCAATTATGAAAGATTGCGAATACTGTACAGGAAAGTGGTAGCTCAAATCTCCCATTTAATGTGCTCTATTCGCTTCCTCTCCGAGGAGATTAAACTTTACAAAAACAATAAACGAGATTTGTCATTACAAATTATGTACTCAAAATTTCCGGTATTATATAAATATTCTTTAATATAGACCACGTATCCAAAGTATAATTTGATTTCTAATATAATCTAATTACGTGGGAAATTAGTCATTGGAAGGTGAAATCCTGACAATAAAATAAATAGCTACATTTAATTATTAGTTGTAGTTCTCTTGTATTATCGGCGAATTGATCTTTCTTTGGTGACGTGTATCATCATTTAAACATTCTATTTACAATAGCACTTCAGGTTATACTCCCACCTTGATATTTTGGGCTTATTCTTGGGCCAATGCATAGCTAAAACGTACCCATTTTACATCCTGCAGGATGGTTAGAAAAGATAAAGGAAAGGAAAAAGAGGAGACTTCCATAGACGGTATTCGAACCCGTGAAATCATCCCTTTTATCCTTCCGACAACTGCCGAAGCCGGCGGTCGCTGGGTTTCCATCGCCGAGGCTGTCTCCATCAATTTAAGTCGTCCAAAAAAAAATTTACCTTATTACATGCTACCGGTGCTGGGCGCGTTGCCCTCGGTTCATCACGTCTATGCCGAATGGTATTATGGGTTGGACGGAAATCCTCCGATCGACTTGCTGCTCAAAACCTTCGGTCATCAATGGAAGGATGATAACAAAGCAAGATTGACGCGTCGAAACTTCCTAATTGAAGAAATCAAGATGAGAGAATCCGATGGATTTACTACGGCGGAGGTCTTGGTACTTTTGGATATGTTGAAGGGGACGGATAAATTAAATAGGTTGGTGGATGTTAAGCTGTTGAATCACGCAAGATGATGTTTCGCGAAAACTACTACCCTTCTAGACGAAAACACATAATACCAAGTAAATGACTCTCGCTCAGCGTCGTAAAAGTGTCAAACCAGCATGTTGACGAAAAAAAACGGATGTGGTTCAATCAATTTTACTTTTTAATTTTGTATCTAAATTGCTGTATTTTGACCATGCACGATAAGATTTTGCTTATATTTCGACCATAATTCATCATGAACATAAATGTCGCGACGTTCGAAGTTCGTCCAACATTTTCTTAAGCAAGCATGTGGCTTACTAAATACGTAATCGTTCAAGATTTTCCAAATAAGGATTGATTTACGTGTAGATTACGTGATCTCAAAATTCAAATGGGTAAATCATTTCCTTTGCATACAACAACGATATTGCTCGTACTATTGCGTCACAGTATAAGAAAAATTTTTGCATACTTGCACCAGATCAAACTTCGATATTACAAGGGAGGTCGATATTCACACCAGTGAATTGACTTTGCCTGCTTTCGGCCATCGAACCAATTTCATACCTGCACTTGATAAATCGTCATCAAAGATCATTGATAGCTCTCGACAAGCACCTCCTGACTTTCTCCGACCTGAGAAGCGTTCGACATGACACCGCTATTTCCTCCGGAAATTTATCGAAACGTTTTTAAATTGCTCGATACGAATTCGCTACATTCCTGTCTTCACGTATCTCGTCTTTGGTGCACTCACGTAATACCCTTGCTATGGCAAAACCCGCTACAGATCGTATTCAACAAAGAAGGTCCACATGTGGAAAATGTGTCATCAATCGTTGAAACCTATTTATCTTGTCTATCATCCGATTCTAGAGTTAAATTGGTCGAGGGTGGGATCGTACCGCCAATGCGCGCACCTACCTTTAAATATCATAAATATTTGAATTCTTTGAATTATTGGTTGTTTCATGATGCCATCTCAACCATGTTTCTAAAGGAATCGCCCATTCAAAAGCGAACGAAAAAAAAACTGATGGGATTGATCCTAGAGGAATTGCTTAAATTGTTTTTCAACCATTCAGAGAACATTAGGAATCTCGAGTATGGTACCCCCGAAGTGTTTGACTACCGCAATCTGGAACAAAGCTTAGATCCGGTCTTCATACTTCCAAACGAACTATCCGATTGTGACATCTTTCGTCTTTCGAAATTGAAAAGCTTTAGTTGTCGAGGTATGTGAGATCATGACTTACCTAGTTGATGCTTTACTCCACGCAATTAGAAAATCGAAACTCACTCTTGTCATCATTCCATCAAAAGCGGACACTCCTCCTGAGCTGATTTACACGATCAGCAGAGTATCCAAGGGACTACAAAAGATAGACATTCAACAGGAATCAAATGATGAGGCCCTGAGCGCATTGATAGATTCTCAAACCAATCTACAGCACTTTGAAATGACCACATGCAGTGAAGCTAAAAAGGTTCTATCGGCACTCAAGAAAAAGTCTAAAACTCTGAGGAAGGTGTCGATCACCGGAGGATGTGCGATTTCTTTTGATTTCTTTCTTCAATGCCCGAACCTTGAGGAATTATCTTTATTGTTTCCCGTAAGACTTCCCGGTAGCGAAAGAAAATGGATTTCGCTTGATGAGGCCGATGCTATTTGGAACTGCACAGAATTGCCAAGTTTATTAGAATACCACATTCAATTTCTGGCCGTCTTGCACGGCCAGGCCTTACAATATCAAAATATTTATTCATCTCAAGTAGAATCAAGTTTATCCTCAGAGAAGGATTACATCTCACCACAAAATGACGAAGGTTCCGCCACCATCGACACAGCGAGACTGATGAGGCTCGAGATCCGTCGAAGCAATCAACGAATCAAAAAAATAATCGACTTGATCAAGATCTCCAGTGGTACACTTAAAACGCTCACCTTGGATCTGACGAATTCAAAAGATCCCGAGAAATATCCACATCTCATATCAACGATTATTCAACTTTGCTCAAATCTTGTAAGCATTCATCTTTACATTCCTAATCAATCGCTATCAATTCTTCCAAGCCTATTTATAAAATGCTCAAAACTAGAGGAGATACTTTTGACAGGTGATCCGGATCAACAAGACATTAGTAATGTCCTTTACAGGCTGGGACCTGTTGTCCCTCGCAGATTACAATTTTTAGCTTTGGGAGTGCAAACTTGGACATACAATATGGCATCTATTAATAATTTTTTTCATCATTGTAAAGATAGAATAGACAATTTACCCTTTAATTTTGCATTAGATATTAATTCAAAATCTGATTTCTTTAAACTGTGCGAGAAATATCGAAAGAAAGGGGTTCTAAACCTTTTAGTCTCCAATTTTTAGAATATTTTAATGTCTGACTCCTCTAGTCATCTCTTTAGTCACATTCGCTAATGATGTATGTGCTGTACGGGGTTGATTCGGTGTCCATTGATTTGGGATGTAGGATTATGTTAGATTATTTAGACGATGATGGTAACTGGTTTCTGTACTTATGGGCTTGTGATACCTTTGATGACAGAGATTACGGAATTAATCCTTAGTCAATAAATTAATGTACTGCCATGTCAGGTATTTTAGCTCTTGTCTCATCACACGATAAAAGACTTAAATATAAACACGACCTTCTTTATTCCCACAACCGGTGGCACATATTACGCAAGTAAATTGTTTTTTCTGACAGAATTTATTGTTCATAAAAATCAGTTAACCTTTTTGACCCATCCACATGAATGACCCTCGAGATTTCATAATGATTAATTTCGAATGGCTTACACTCAAAGGATAATTCTAACTATGCTTTTGTAGAAAAAAATGACCGTAACATGTTGTTAATTGATCTCACACTCTCGTAAACTTCTTACTATTTAGGCATGGCAAGATTACCTATGATCAACGAAGCTTTTCTGACTTGATCATTGAATGCGCGTCATAAATCTATCAATGGCAATATTGCGCCTCCACTATGACGAGATAGTGTTATTTAAGTATGAGAGATATTTTTTAAAGTCATTATTAATTTCCTCGGGATTATGATTAATTCAAGAGTTGTGCCCATTTAAGATTACATATTCGCGAACGCGGCACACATTCGTAAACAAAAATAGTCAACAATGCATGGTTACACTAGACAAATAGGAAACATCGTGGGAAATCCGTAACTGATGCAAGATTTATTATATTACATATTATTGTTTACAGTAATGGTATTATTTGGCTGATTCTTTTTGAAAACGACAAAAATGTTATATACGATATTTTGATCCCTATTTTTTGAACAATACATATACAATATAAATTCTAGGAGTACAATTATAAAGTCAGAAAAATCTCTGTCTGCCTTCAAAAATAATTACCCATTTATGAAAAGTTGATGACATTTATAATCAATATTCTAATAAATTGACTTTTTTAATTTTAATTTTTCCCTAAACCTACAATTAGGCATATTTATTAAATAATATTATAAGCTATAAATATGGATAATTATTTTCGAAGGTGGACCGGAAATTTTCTGGTGTGATCCTACAATTTGTATTATATATGTATTGTTAAAAGTTGGGTCCGAAAAAATCATATCTAGCATTTTTGTCACCTTCAAAAATAATTACCCATATATGTATAAACATGCTTGATTCAACTTGTCTATTTACAGTACAAGGTCTTTAAATATGATTTATGAAAATGAAATTTTGCTTACTTATTGGATAGGATTAAAATTTAAATCCTTTAATAAGATTAAAACTTGTATCTTACTTTTGTAGTCATATCATAAATTCAAATTGTATTGATTTTTTTATAGAGATTATAAAAAATAAAAATAATAATAATAAATAAAAATATAAAAAAAATTTTTTTTAAAAAAAAAAAAACTCTTTCCCACAACTTTCCAATCTGTAAAAAATTTCCTTTTTTGGTAATAACATGAACGGTAGACAGTAAACAGCGAGCGAGAACCTCTTTCTGGGAGAGAAGTTCATCTTAGCTTTCTGCAGGGTGCAAGGGGTCGATTAACTCTCCCTAGAGGGGTGGATGCTTTGGGAGTGGCAAAAACCTCTTCAATTAAACCCTTTGCTTTACTGAGTGAAACCTATGTAAGCAACCTCCAAATAAAGAAAAATCTTTTTACTGTATCATATACATTATTACCAACCACATCACAAAAAACACATAAAATCAAACACAATCTTCTCCTCAAGAGGCAGCATTTTATTTTTTCAGAGTTTTTGTTTTCTGCTGATGA